GAGGGACCTTTTAGAGGTTGAAAAAAGCTTTGAGAACTGCACTAAAGCTACAATATTCGTAAAACAATCTTTTTCCATTCTGATGCCCTCCAACTATTACAACCCTGAGAGTTTCACTTGAGGATGTCCGGAGGATAACAGATTGAGGAAGATTTTATTAGCAAAGAAGATATTCCATTTATGCCATTTAACTTGGTTGTAAAACCTCAGGATATAGCTGCAAAGTATTGGAAAAGTAGTTCATCTGAAGATAATTTCAAGGTTTCTTGTCATATGAAGTAGATTTTAAATATTCAGCTCCACAGTGTAATTTAACAGTGTATGAAGATATATCAAAATGAACCATTCTTCCCCAATTTCCACAGCAACAAAATCTTCTTTAATATTATATAGATCTTGCATAAAGTACTACTTTAAAAATATTAAGAGGGTAACCGATACAATGTCATGCTGAAGCTAATATATCATGAATTGGATCAAAACTGAAGTTCTAATAAGGCTCATTTTTAAATGAAATAGCTATTTGAAACAAAACCATGTGATCTCAAGCAAACAAAGGTGCATTCTAAAATAATGGAATTAATTTTTACCATCTGTTTATTTTCTTATTGATTTAGTCAATTTCTCTAGCTGTTCCTCTCAGACAAGGGACTCTGAGCAGCGAACTGTCATAAAACAATTAAAAACCACTTACAACATAGTAAATATTTACTATATTGGTAAATATAGTATTTAGGTATTTTGCTAGGTATTTAGCAAAAACATATTTTTTTAAATTTAAATTTTTTAAATTTAATTTTAATCTTGGTGGTCGTCCTCACTCTATGGAATATCACTCCCGCTGAGGTATGATCAGCCCCCACCCTGTTGCTTTTTCAAACATTATAAGTTATAAAAGTATGGTTTTGTCAGCAGGCCTAGGGACCACGAATGGTGATGGAATCGATCAAGTGTTTAATTTGATTGTGTTGTTCCTGCCATAGAAGGTGGGGTGGAGTGTTTATAGGTTTTTAAGTTATGGATTTTTAAATGTTGTAAACCGCCTGAAGTCATCTAGGTGTGATATGGGTGGCCATATACGTTTGTTTAAATGTTTATTTGTTTGTGTATAAATAATATATAAATTTTAATTAGCCACATAACTCACAGTTCAAGGCGGATTTTTACATCAGATTGTGCAAAGGAAAGCTCAGCCAAACTGGAGAATATACTTCTTATCAAAAGGGACACTTTGTAAAAATTAAGATAGGCTGCAAGATGACAAATAAATAAACAATACAATCCTGCAAAAAATATTTGCAGAGCCTCAACTTTCCTACAAGTAGAGATGGTGTGCTGCAGGTCCCATCAGCTAAGGTTCTACATTTAGATGGGTTCCAAGAGACATGCCTTCTCTGCCATGGTGCACTGGCTCTAAGGGAGCATTCTTCCCCCTGACATTAGATTATCTCCATTCCTTTGGATATTCCAGAAGTCTCTCAAGATTTGGTTATGTCACCAAGCCTGGAGTTCCCTGGGTAACGGGAGACATGCCTAGATGGCTCTATTGCTGAATTGGCTATTCTTACTCTCTCTTTGCCTAGGGTTTGCATATTTCATTTTTGTAATATTTATCTTCTAATACCAATTCTTATATTTCATACTGATTATTTTATATATGTGGATTGTTGTATGCTGCCCAGAGTCATTTTCTATGAGATGGGCAGCTATACAAATCTGACAGACAAACAAACAAACTAACTACGGTAATAAGCAAACATACCAGTAGTTGCTCTAGAAATATGACAAATAACTAAATCAAATATTTTTTCAAGGATTAAGGATTCTTTTTGTTCAACAGGAATCTTGGAGTACACCGAAAAGATCAGTTTTAAATGTGATTTAGTTATAAATACCATTTCCTAAGAGAACATTGTGCACAAAATAGCTTGTCTTATAATGGGAAGCAAGCAGTTGACCCAATTCAGAAATGAAAACCTGCACTAATTAACTGCTGATGAATTGGAGGTATCCTATTAAGTGTAGCATAGGCATATAAGCAGAAGCAGGACACTATGAGCATTAGTCATAAAAGCCAGTTGGGTGATTTTGGGTCAGTCACTCTCAGCCCAACTCACTTCACAGGGTGGTTGTTGTGGAGAAATAGGACGAAGATACTGTATATTGGATGTTTACCACTTTATTTGTAAAAATAATAAAGCTGGCAATAAAAAGAAATAAATAAGCAAAAACAAAATTCTATCCTCCTCAATGGCATTGCAACTTCTAACAAAACTATTTTTTTTCTATGCTCTTCCAGTATGGCTCTGCAAATTAAAAAAAAAAATAATTCTCTAAGATTGTATTTCTTTCTCTTTCTAAAAAGAGTTTTCTGTAAGAAAGTCACCAGCCAGAGAACAATGTTCAACACTGAAAAACAAAATCTGTTTAATTTTTGATCGACTTATTGTGGTATCGTCAACATAAATACCATTTGAATTCACTTGATTTAAAAGAAATGATCCCAGGATTGACAGAAAATAAAGATTTATAATATTGTGTTGAAATCCTGAAAGCCTCTTCAGAAATAAGTGAAGATCCATAAATGCACAATATTTCTGCCTCCCCTGTGAACAGAAGTCTCCATGTGACACTAAGCTGATTTTTGAGTTCTGAGTGTCCACAGCATTTAACATTCTAGTAATAAAATCTAGAAAAGCCTCATTCAGAGGTGGGTTTCAGCAGGTTCTGACCAGTTCTGGAGAACCGGTAGCGGAAATTTTGAGTAGTTCGGAGAACCGGTAAATACCACCACTGACTGGCCCCGCCCCCCATCTATTCTTTGCCTCCCAAGTCCCAGCTGATTGGGAGGAAATGGGGATTTTGCAATATCCTTCCCCTGGAGTGGGGAGGGAATGGAGATTTTATAGTATCCTTCCCCTGGAGTGGGGAGGGAATGGAGATTTTACAGTATCCTTCCCCTGCCATGCCCACCAAGCCACGCCCACAGAATGGTAGTAAAAAAAATTGAATCCCACCACTGACCACATTGTATGAATTTGATAGTTTATTGTGGCTGACTCATCTTCATAGTGATAGACTTAGGCTATATCTAACTAAGTTTCTTTATTTTCTTTGAACGTATCTGAAAAACTGAAAATTTTTGAAGTTCTACAAGAAATGGCATCTTCTCAGGTTTTGAACCTAGGCACGTTGGGCATACATTCCTGCAAGTGGAATTATTTATGATGCAATAATCTATCATTAATGGTTTGAACTGGGAAGTAAAGCAACAGAAATCAAATTTAAGGTAATCTAACATTCATATTATGTTCATAAGGGTTACTCTTGTAGAATTGACCATACAGAGTGGCTAGAAAAGTGATTTTAAAAAATGGAACATGTGCTTTGGCACCGGAGACAATGGACTTCAAGTTGCTATTTGGATTGTTATCTGGGAATAGTTTACTGCTATTTCTTGTTTTAGGAAAGTCACTCATACATGCATTGAAATGAAAATCCATTATACTATATCAAAGCAATGCTCTGTATATAAAATATTATATATTTAATTTGTGGTATCTCTAGGTGAGAAAGATTTCTGATAAAATTCTGGACATTCACTTCCAATTCGTACAATCCATTCACTCACTGATTATGCATCATTAGGTTGGCATCAAATGACAAGGTTCAAATTATTATTATTTATTTATTAAATGTAGAGAATCACATAGCTATATAAAGCATGCAACAAGAGCATCAAGTAGGAACTCTGGATTGATTGTTTCTATGATTTATTTATTTGCTGTCTTGATTATCCAAGGAGGAGGCAGTTATCCATCAGGAGCCTTCTCCAATACCAATATCACTTCTTTATGTCATGTTTGTGTCCACATTAGTATAGGACTTGGACTTCACTCTGCCTGAGTTTCTACCCTTACAATGCTACAATCGATTCCCACAATGGAAGAACAGATGGAAAAAGTGATGCAGTTGGCAGAGATAGCAAAATTAACTTTTAATTAAAGAGAAGATGTATCTAGTTTTGTTTCTATTGGAAATCGCTTCTGGACCTTATGCTTGAAACAGGGGAAAAATGAAACTTTGATTTGAGGTTTTGATGATTAGATTAGTTTGTTGCTAGAAAAAATGGTTAATATACTGTATACTCAATGTGTAAACAAAAAGTTGAGGATGTATTTTACTGCATCGAAAAAAATTGGAAGTCAATCTTTTTTTCTTTCCCCTTTATCTTACATTCCCTTCCCATTACTTTTTCCTCCCCTATTCCCTTATTAGCTGTTTCTATTTGTATTTTATATTATCATAAGCTTCAATTTTAAAAAACAGTACTGTAATGGGAAATCATACTAAGAATTTTTTACAATTATGCTTGAAGAGGCTACAAAGTAATGGAGTTTGGACACTTAATGTATCTCTAGGGAGTCAAATTGTCTTTTTTTTTACTGCAAATTATAATTTGCACAAAATAATGCATAACTTTATATTTCATGCTAAACCAAACCAAAGCATGCCATAATACAACTTAGTGTGATATGACTAACTAGTTCTTATACATTTATTAAAGAGCATATTGTCATAGAGTAACTAATTCCCTGTACTTGACAAAATTGCCTCCGTACACTATATCAGGTATTCCAGAACCATAAATACATGATGGAGTTGCTACAGGTACTTAAATAGAAATAAAAGTTGTTATTGAAAGAAAACATGCTATTGCTGATGAGATCTACATCTGCTAGAAGCTCTTTTGAGGAAAATCCCAGGAAGAACCTTTGTGCATCCTCTTTTCTATATTCTGTATCCTTATTTTTCTGTTTGTTTCTATCATTACCTGCTCATACATGCCCCTAATTTGCAGAGTTATCCAGTGCAAAGAAAACATATCTATAAGGCACAATATAGAAAAGAGAAAATTAAGGTATTCTAATGTTCCAAGGACTTTTCAAAACAATTAATGCAGCAACATGAATGAAATAACAAAAATCCAATGTACTTACATCAGTGTCAGGTCCCTTATCACCTCCAGGACAAGAAAAAGTAACGAATTCATGGCACCTCTTGTGAACCACAAAACAGCAAACTAAAAAGAGAAGAAATATACATTTGCTTTAACCATGTTAACAAGTCTATAGTCAGTTTATATGCATGGAAATTCGTGTGACACAATAATTATGTCCTGTGAAATTCTTTGACAAGCATTCAAATCATGGAAAAATCTTCACCATCTACTTTTCTATTCTATGGAAGTGTTCAGGACAAGAAGCAGAAGTCCATCTAGGCCACACTGGAATTCACCTTCTACCTTTTGGCTTTGGAATTTTAACTAGGCTATTGGCTGCTCAACATTGAAGAACTAATCTAATAGCATACAGGTAATCCTTGACGTATGACCACAATTGAGCTTAAAATTTCTCTTTCTAAGCTAGACACTTGTTAAGTGAATTTTGCCCCATTTTATGACCTTTCCTGCCACCGTTGTTAAGCAGATCACTCCAAATGATAAGTTGGCAACATGGTTGTTAAGTGAATCTGGCTTCCCCATTGACTTTGCTTGTCAGGAAGTTGCAAGAACTGATCACATGACCCCGGGACACTGCAATCATCATAAATATGAGTCAGTTGCCACGCATCTGAATTTTGGTCACATGGCCATGGGGATGTTGCAATGGTCCTAAGTATGAAAAACAGTCATAAGTCATTTTTTTCAGTGCCGTTGTAACTTTGAACAGTCACTAAACAAATTGATGTAAGTTGAGGATTACCTGTAAATCATTTCTATATTCAAGGTCGGTACACAATTAAACATTACTATTGGAATTACTATATCAAAAGGTTATGTATTATAAGGAATACCATTCTATGTGTAGCTGGATGCTAACTCAACACAAAATCTCTTGGGTGACTACTTTACACTTCGCTCTCCTAGTTGCCATTTATATATTTTTCACTTAGAAGCAATCTTGCATAAAATGAATATATTCAATTTTGTTTCAGTATATGTAAGCATGGGCTGAGGTGTTTTGTTTTGCTTGAAAAAGTGAGGTAATGTTTACTGCAGGACAATGTTTTTGATTGTAAGTGGAAAGCTAAGATGACAGAACAGATCAATATTTCATGATGAACATACTATATGAATTGTTTTCTTTATTAATTTTGCTCATCCTTTTTGGTAAATCATTTCCACTTTGTTTATCCCATGAGAATGCTTGCTTAATGTGCTTGTGTTTTACTCTCTCCACAATAATGTCATTCCAGAAATAAACAATTGTAAATGAAAACAATAGCATTGTTCTCTCTAGGTCACATTCCAGCCTTAAACTCTGAGATTCCAGAATAACAAGAATCTTGTTTCTGTTCCTACTCATTGTGGAATGAAGTATTACTCAGTGAGGAGAAAAATGATTTCCCACTCGCTCCAAGTCTAATGATTTTCTTGATTATGACATCCAACTCTATATTTCTACTTTTAGTGATGCTGCGGTCACCCTTTTGCAGTGCCTGAAGGCTGTGTGGGACAACAAGCTTTGACTGAATCCTGGTAAGACCAAATGGCTTTTGGTACACAGGGCTCTGGGGACTTTGTCATCTTTAACTCTGGATGAGGTGGCACTGCCCCAGAAAGACCCGGTCTATTACTTGGGGGTTCTCCTGATTTGCAACTCCTGTTCAAGGAACAGGTGGCAGTTGTGGCTAGGAGAGCCTTTGCACAACTTCATGTTGTGCACCACTTGTGGCCTTTCTTGGACCCACCAGGATTCCCTGCGCTCAACCATTCAGTCCCTAGTCATCTCACAGCTGGACTGCTGTAATGCACTCTACATGGGGCTATCCTTGAAGAGCATTTGGAAGCTACAGCTGGTGCAGAGTGTGGCAGCGTGGGTAGTTTTGGGGAGCGGCCCAAGAATGGCCCCTGTAACACCACTGATCTGCGAGCTGCATTGGTTATCGGTCTGCTTCCAGGTGCAAGTCAAGGTGTTGATGATCACCTTTAAAGCCCTTCATGGCATAGGTCCAGGTTACTTGAGGGACTGTCTCACCCTACTGGGGGTGGTCCATACCACTTGTGGTGGCAGAAGAAGCATGCTGTGGATCCCATCAGTCCAAATTATTCTGGCTGGCAGGGTCCAGGGTCTGCTGTTGCTTCTGCCCTAACATAGTTACCCTACCGTAAGATGGTTGGTTGGTGAATGAATGAATGAAACAAACAAACAAACAAACAAACAAGTTTGGAAAAGAATTTCAGCAACCATCCTCTCAGGTTTTCTGTATTTCTTTTATTGGCAACGTATCTTTATATTTCTTTTTAAGACACCAAAAAAAAAAGATAATCAAGAACTGAGCCAAATTAACTATGAAATTTATAATAAGGGTGATTTTTTTTAAAAAAAATGAGATGTCTCAAGCAAAATATACATTATTAAAGAAAATGGTCAAGCCATGAATTCTGATTTGAAAAGGAAAACTTCTATTAACCATATGGACATATCCTTGTGGAGGTTGTTTCCTGTTACTGTAGTTTTGGTTGTTGTTATTCAGTGCCCACCTGCAAGTGGGAAAGTAGTTTCCCATTCAGCCAAAAGTACTGGTATTTCCTAGAGGTCTCCCATCCTAAGTCTAACACTGCTTAACCTTTTTCAAAATCATTCAGTCTTAGCTACCTATTACTGAAAAAAGAGAACAATATTTCCTAAAGTGGGTCCAAGATCAGTAGAAATACCTAGTATGAAACTATTCTTCACTCCAAATAATCAAACCTCAAAAAATCATTTTAGCATATCGTCTAGGTCAGGGGTGTCAAACTTGTGTTGTCACAGAGTTGTCACGTGACGTATTGTGACTTCCCCCCCTTTGCTAAACCAGGCATGGGCGTGGCCAACGCGTGATGCATCCAGCCTGTAGGCCACGAGTTTGACATTCCTGCTCTAGGTAGAATAGCACAACAAGCAGCAAACTAAAACTAATATTGTTGCCTACCATGTAATCAGGGTCATAATAGTCACCCTGCAGTAAAACATTCTTGACAAATTGTTCTCAGCCTCTACTCTACTTGAATACATATAAAAAGACAACCAGTTCTATAGACAACTGATTCTAGTGTCATGCTGCTTTTAACATTTCAAGTAAAATTTACTTAACTTAAAACCCAATATTTAACACCTTATATACTGGTTAATAGAATCATGGTCTTTTTCTGTGTCATAGTCATACCGATATAAGAGTATAGTCATTTAGTGCCGGCATCTTCTCTTTTCAAAGGTAAACATAACAATCTTTCTCAATTTTTCTTTCAATAGGATTTAGAGGTTAAGAGGATGGATAGGGCACTTTTTTTGCTGTCTTCTGAATTAATTTAAATTTACTTGAATCCTACAGCATACTTATCAAAAGTGACATGTAATATTATATAAAGAGAGGTTTTACCAGATAAGGAAAGAATATAATCTTCCATCCCATTAATGCACTGAAAACTCGTCACTTGCTACAATTACTTGCACATTCATAGTGAAGTCTGCAATTATGAAACAGAGATGGTTTCCACATAAGCCTAGACCCTGATAACACGGGGTCCTTATTCATCCAGAAAACAATGTACACACAAGGTATATAGGTGAAAGCTTCTCTAATTTAGATGCACGTCCTCGATGCATTTGATTTAATAAAGGTATGATGTGTTGTTGCCTTTTCTATTGAGCCAAGACCCCTATACAGATCTAAAAATTAGGTAACAGGATATTATGTGTCGTTTTTAAACAGTTCACTAATATACATATTTCATTATTATTAGAATTCTTTTATCCCACCTGTTTTACTTTATAAGTAACTCAACATCGCAAACATACCGTATATAAAACCCCTTCCTCTTTTTCCCACAACAACCATCCTGTGAGGTGGGTTGAGCTGAGAGAGAGTGTCTGACTCAAGGTTACCCAGCTGCCTTTCATGCCTAAACCAGGACTAGAACTCAAATTCTAGTTTTTAGCCTGGTGCCTTAACCATTAGACCAACTGGCTCTCTTATCTGCACCACCCTCAACACAAGCCCCCCAACACAGATTCTTCAATCAATATCAGAACCTAATTATCAATATGCTTCAAAACTCCTATGTAACCATTCTCTTTTCCCCATTAGTGGCTATAATTTTGTTCAGTTAAGAGAAAACTTAAGAATAGTTAAATTGAATTTCCTCATTCTGGTAGAGTCCAAATAAACTAAACTACAACTGTCATAATACCCAACCATCATCATTACTGACTATTGGAAATGACAAGCGTTTGGCAACCTTAATGCACCTGAAGAATGTCAAGTAATGGAAGGCTGAGGCCAATCATTAAGAACTATGCACAGATTAGCCTCAAAATAATAATGAACTTGTTAACATTTTCAGAGCAGCTTCTTTGGATTAGCAGAGCCTGCACAAATAATAGTCAAGCTTTGCTTCAATATGGAGTTGCATATAATTATATATGTTATCCTCAATACAAGCTTATGAGGCCAATTGTCCTGGTAGAAAAATCATTTCTGCAAAGTCTACATTACTGCTTAAAAGCAAGTTTGGTCTAGTGGTTAAGGCATCAAGTTAGAGACCCAGAGACTGTGAGTTCTAGTCCTGCCTTGGGCACAGAGCCAGCTGGGTGACTTTGGGCTAGTCACTTTCAACCCTAGGAAGGAGGCAATGGGAAATTATTTTTGAAAACCTTGTCAAGAAAACTGCAGGGACTTATCCAGTCTTTGAGAATTAAACATGATTGAACAGAAAAAGAAAAAACAACAACAGTTGCTCATTTGAATTTATTGTCATATTCATAACTTTCTTACATACACAATTTGAAGGTCTTCACCAATAGTCCCTATAGAGGAAAAAGAGGATGGAAGAAAAGACCTTTTGAACCAATTTGTAAAAAGCCATTCCCAGCCCAATATTGAACCTCTTCAAAGCAATAGCATTTTATTCTGCAAATTCAAGATGTGACAAGGACTGCTAAAGTATTAGCTTGATTGATCAAAGTATATTGAATAATATTTTTACCCAATAATTTCTGAATTTAATGCACAACGAGCACCTGATTGATTTCAATCCTT